AGCAGGAAGATGACCGCCAGGACATTCAAGGACTGCCGACTGGTGATAGTCATCTTCTCGCGGTCATGTGGAAAAGGAGGGAGGCTGCAGGAGGCAGGGAGCTCGGCTGGGACCGAGGTAGAGGGGAGCTGCTTCAGCTTGAGCAGGACCTGGTCATCCTGTGCATGCTGAGAGCTCCTCTCACATGTTCGATGATGATGATGAGAATGCCGCTGCTGCTGCTGCTGCTGGAGGTCAGGACCCCTGTTGGGAACAAGACATGCAAGACAAAGAGGAGATTAGGAGATTGTGTTTGGTCTTTCTCGTGGCTTGAAATGTTGATGATTTGTTTGAAAATCTTTTTCTTGTTCAAATGATGAGGATCCTTATCAAGCTTCTGCAAGGCTTGCGGATGAGCGGAAAATCGGGTGTGTTGGAGGAGGGAGGCATCGAAAACAAGAGGACCGGACTTGGGCACTCCTGTAGTAAAATCTTATTTCTTAAAGTGTAGGCAAGCAATGTATTCAAACTGTGAAAAAAAAAACCCAAAACATTTAGTAGCGTATAGCAAAAGCCTGGTTTCCGCTTCCTTTGTTCTTTTGAATTGGAACGTAGCTGCAATACGGTATAATGATAGCAACAAGCCATTTCACGTATAGCTCGTCAATATGAAATATGAGAAAAGGACATTGAAACTTTTAATCGGCATTTTACTCTGCCTATTTGAGAGAGTAAGAATTGGAAGCATCAAGTATACCTGGCTTCTATTTTCAGAATATTTCACGACTATTTCTGACGTGCTCCTTCAGTGCATGTGCAGTAAAGGGCCGAGGGGGGCATTTCATGATGAGTGCTTCCTCCACCCGCGGGCACTGTAGTTACTGTAAAACCCGTGTTGTGAATAATTGAGGAGCACCCGTCTGAAAAGAGGGAACACTTTTATTTTTGTCCTTAAAAGTTCTGCGGTTGCATCAGCGCTCGCTGCCGTTTCGTCACCGCGCGCCTGAGAAACAAGCGCTCCATGCGAAGGCAGAACGGGCGAACACGACGCGGAGGTTTGTTTTGGAGCGCGGCGCCGCACGGAGGAGGGCGAGAGGTTAGGAACGACGAGAGCAGAGACAGGATTTTAAAATACTTCGATGAGGGAATATTTTTCGGAGGTCACGAGGGCCAGCTTCTATTTTTTTTAAAATTTACAGTCTTAGCTTGTGGTCAAAGTAATGAGATCTTTAAATCTGCGTATGTAAAAATATGCAAGACTCAGGAGACGGCAGCACGGTGGCTGCTTCAAAGTTCTGAGTTCGAACCTCGGGACAGCATTTTAATTCATATCTCAAGGCACAACTGTATTTCTTTTTCAATGATGTCCTCCGGGAGGAGAAGAAAAAAATTCCACTGAACTTGAACATAATGCTCATTTCTTATGAGTTATAGCATCAGGGCAGCAGCACAACATTAAAGGTGAAGTACGTCTGCATGACTTCGAATGCTAATGAAAAATGTACCTTATTAATGGAGCGCGCTCAAGGAAATTAAAGTTCGATCTGTTCCAGCTCCCGCGGACTGCCTTATCAAAAGAACATGAGCTGATAGCTTCAACCAACACATATGCAAACACGCGCGCGGGCACGCACACAAAGCCTCCCGCGCATCGGCCTGTCCCGCTCAAATTAAAAAAACACGCCAGATTAGACAAGCTGTCCCGTCCTCTAAAAGGCAGGCAGCTGACATCCCGGGAGACTCGTTACGGTAGCATTTGGGATATTTTTACCCCCTCTTTCCCTCCGTGTGCCCATCACTCCATCCATCCGTCATAGTTCTTGACACTATTTTACCTTGATTTCAAAACGAGATAAAATCAACAAAGAAATATCCAGGAAGGCCCAAAATACCAGTTTGGCCTAATTACAGCATTTTAGGCATTAATCCTACGATATTCTTGATCTGATTTTTTTGCTTGTTCATTAGCGGCGATATCCACGCAGAATGATGGAATGTGGCGGCCCGGTGGTTCAGTGGTGAGCGCGTCGACCTCACAGTGCAGAGGTCGTGGGTTCGATCCCGGCTGTGGCTTTCCCTGTGTGGAGTTGGCATGTTCTCCCCGTGCCAGCGTGGGTTTTCTCCGGGTATTTCGGTTTCCTCCCACATTCCAAAAACAACAACACACATTCCAAATTGTCCTTCGGTGTGAGTGTGAGCATGGATGGTTGTTTGTCTCTGTGTGCCCTGCGATTGGCTGGCAACCGGTTCAGGGTGTCCCCCGCCTATTGC